CAAAAGAAGAGTGCAAACAATAAATTCCCAACATGATAACAGGCTAATAAGAGCTAAGATAATTAGTTACCCTGCATTTTCTTCTCTAATTCTAGCTTTTGTTTCTTAGTCTCACCCTCATCGTACCCCTTCTTAAATTGAACCATCATTCTCTTGTGCAGTTCTGGTAGTGGGATAAAGGGAGCGTTCTGAAATTTAACAATATATTTATTAGTTTTATTTATCAAATATTCTAAGAAGCGGAGAGAATATACATAGAAGATTAAAAGACTTTATACCGTTGTCCTACAAAATTGATCCTCAATCTGGGCAAATGAAGTAGTCCCGTATGATGATCGTAATCTTTTTTCCATCGATTAAGTTTATTTCTCCTACATTTTTCCTTCAACATGAACAAAGAGAATTTTAGTGTGGTATAATATACAATGGAATATATCACTAGTTTCAGATAAATAACTTGATGATAATTAACTACTATACATATTTACCTGGTGCTGCTCTTGGCCCCACAATATTATAAGTGCAGCTAAGTGCTCAGGGTCAACCCTCTTATCTCGCTTGTATATCGTCTCCCAGTTGTGAGTGAAACAATCAAAGCATTTCTTCTTTATCTCATGTCTCCACTCCCGAAGAGAATGCTTGAACTTTCCCTGGTATCCAAATAAAAATTCCCACCCTACGGGATTGTCTTCAATGTTGAAATATCTTTAAAAAATAAAATATAGTTAAGCATGGATAATTGATAGAATTGAAAAATAATTGTGCTAAATATAAGAATTTACCCAACAATCTCGATATATACTCTCCAGGACATGAAATGGCTGCTCCCAAGCCTCGTAATAGGGATTCACATTATCACTCCTCCGTATCAAACATCCAAGGTATGAGCTGAAGTTATTAGCCCACTGTCCGGTTGGAATCCCATTATGTCCCCATCTCACAATTGCTCGAAAACCATCCGGTGGTAACTTTTTTTTAAAGTCACTTCCCTTGGCATCCTTTATTTAATCAACACTTTTATTTAAGCTCTTAGAATTTACTAAAAAAGGAAGAAGAAAAATTCTGGAATTGATTAAGTTTTTGATCAAACTCACCAAATCTTTGTCTGATTTCATTTTTTGCATCAGACAAAATCTCATCAATCTGTGGGGCCCATTCATCTAATCTTTTTTTTTTTTGCATCAGACAAAATCTCCTCAATCTGTGGGGCCCATTCATCCAATCTTTTTTTCGCAAGCATATATTTTTCTGTCTGCTTGAGTCTATACCCCTCTGCACATGCTGGTAAGGGCCCGCGCTCAATCCCAGGAATGTATGCTCGAAGTATAACTGGAGGATCTGCATATAATGGCATGTGAGTCGGCTCTTCCTCACCCTCACCTATAAAAATAAAAGAAATAAATTATCATTGTGCATATATCATGAATAAAAATACGTTCGTTAAACCAAGTTATACCTGACATCTCTCCTGAACTCTGAGGCTCTTCCTCAGTGGATTGGTCTTGACTGGGGTTAGCTTCGAATAACCTCCTGTTAATATTTTTAGACATCTGCAAGTTGAATAAACATACAAATTAATATAACATAGATGCAAATTGGCTTGGCGAAAATAAAAACAATATGTATTGTTGCGTTACTAAATTTTTCATTTCACATCAAGTTTGTAGGCATTTGCAAGCTGAATATACAAAATAAGATATTACATATTTATATCGTCCAAAAGGTAATTGAGATACATTGTAGTGATATTAAAGTTTTTATTATACAATTTGCAAACTAAAAAAAGTTACATAAAGACCCGATTACAAATAATTGCTGTTTAGCTCCTATTAATGTCTGTGATAATATTTGGAATGTCTGTCCGAGTTGTTGGAGCATCCGTTTCAAACACTACGTTTTGAGGGTACGAGAATTCATCGATCGCTGTATTTGGCTCATTGAAGTTGTTTATATAGCTCTCGTCATCATCTTCATTAGTAGAAGGTTGAATATAAGCCCTAGAATCCTTGTACAAGACAACCCACTCGTCTTTAACTGTAGGATCTTTCACATAGAAACATTGTCCCACCTGAGATGCAAACATGAATTTTTCATCACTATCAATTTCTTTATCGAGATTGACAATTGTAAATCCAAAGGGATCCTTTTGAGTCTTTGTAAAACACCAACGAATCATGAACATCATGTATTTATGTTCATTTGGACCACCATAGCCGTAGAATATCTCCACCACATCTTCCAACCTTCCATAATATGTCATATTATTTTCAACTGGATTCTGATCTCTTCTGTTTGAGAAACATTCCCGTGAGAAGGTAGCCATGACACCACTATTCTGGGTGACCTTCGTATCACCAACCTCCATCGTGTGAAATTTATAACCGTAAACACGATACCCACCATATTGAATTACAGCATAGTAAGGTCGCTTTGCGTGAACCTTCACTTCTTCTGATATTTGATTATTAAGGACAAGTTGTTCCTGGATCTAAATATATACAAAAATAAGCAAACTATTAAATCAAGACATTTCTAAGTTTTTTATCAATGAAATACAAATATCGCTAAATTTAACAATACTTACTTCACTATTCAACCAAGCAGGGAATTCCTTCATATGCCTTTCTTTAATGTCATGTACAGCTGTACTACCGGTAACTTCATTCTTAAGTTTTTCCTAATGTTGCCTATTAATGTGCATAAATTTAATTATTATTGTCAAAATAAAAATTTTGTCAAAATAGAAATTAAAGAGTAAATGGTATTAAAAATTCTTTTTAGATATTTTACCTCCGGTACTCCGAGAAGATTTCAAGATTATTTACAACATATGCATGCGCTTGATCTAACAATATGTTAGAATAATTTTTGTTCAGCCCGCGAGGATAGAGAACTGTGTACTCCTTATTATCAACGGGTGCTTGAAGTTCAGTTTGTTCCCCTCTCATATAACGAGAGGCAAATAAGAGACACTCGCTTCTCACGTAACTTTCAGCTATTGAACCTTCTGGGCGAGCTCTGTTACGCAATTGACGCTTCATTGAACCCAAATATCTAAAAAAGGAATATTAATCAGATATAGATGTAAAGAAATTTACATTTAATAGATATAAATATTAATAGGTAACGATTAAATTTTTCTAAATACTAACCTCTCTATTGGATACATCCAACGATAATGGACTGGTCCTGCTATTGCAGCCTCCTCCGCGAGATGATGTGTAAGATGAACCATTATTGTGAAAAAAGATGGAGGAAAGAGCATCTCCATTTCACACATTGTTTCAGAAATATTTTCTCCAAGTTTCTCAAAGTCACGGGCGTCTATAACTTTAGAACAAAGCTTTCTGAAAAATCCACAAAAATCAATAATAACCTTCACTGTTTTTTTATTCTGCATAGTACTGCGTAGTGCCACAGGTAGCAATTGATGAAGAAGCACGTGATAATCATGAGTTTTAAGCCCTAATATTTTCCTTTCTTGCACCTGGACATAGTTCGATATGTTTGCGGAGTAACCCTCTGGTAACTTTATTGATTTGAGGACTTGACAAAATGTTTGCATCTCAACTTTCGACATTATAATACGAGACGCAGGCAACTCTAATCGGTCGTTTTCGACATTTTTTGGCTGCAGTTCCTCTCTAATGTTCAATGCAGTTAGATCTCGACGAGCTCGTAGATCATCCTTTGATTTATTAGCATCTTGCAACAGTGTGGACAAAAGATTATCACAAATATTTTTTTCAATGTGCATAACGTTCAAGTTGTGACTTATTTTTAGCTCGTTCCAATAGGGGAGTTGAAAAAAAATGCTGAATTTTGTCCATCCTGAAGGTAATTTTACGACTTCAGCCCCATCACTCACCACTTGTGCTTGTCTCTTTCGTTTTGGTATCCTTTTGTTAATACGCAAGTTCCTTACTCCAAGTAAATCTTCTTTCGAATAGCGCTTCTTTCCAAACCTGACGGCAGGGAACATCTCAAGCAAATGTACAATCTGATCCCCACGTAATGGACGCGGAGCATCTCTCTTCTCAACAGTATCATCAAAAAACTTGCTCCATTTTTTGGTTCTGTACCTGTGTTTTATGTTCAACCACCTTCTATTAAACCAATAACAAAACTTTCGACTGTGCTGCAGATAAAGACCTTTGAATTCTGGACCACACACTGGACATGCATATGTTCCCTTTGTAGACCAACCTGAAAGATTCGCATAGGCTGGAAAATCATTAATTGTCCATAGTAAAATAGCACGTAGTCTGAAAGACTGCTTTGCATGAGTATCATAAGTCATAACCCCTTCAGTCCAGAGTTGTTTTAACTCATCAATTAGCGGTTCTAAAAACACATCTATGTCATTGCCTGGTGCATGCTTGCCTGGTATCAATAATGAAAGTATCATATACGGTTGTTTCATGCAAAGCCAAGGTGGCAAGTTGTAAGGCGTTAATACCACAGGCCATGTAGACCAACCAGAACTCATTATCCCAAATGGATTGAATCCGTCGCTAGACAAACCTAGTCTAACATTCCTACACTCATTCGCAAACCAAGGAAAAGTTCTATCCATATGCTTCCACGCCTCTGCATCAGCCGGATGTCTGATTTTACCATCATCAAATGCATCCGCGTATGTATTTTGGAGACGCGGAACGTACTCGATGAAAAATTCTTCAAACGAGCTTGCTATTTCGATGGCCACCTGGTGGTATGGAATCAGGTCTCGATTTCTGACTTCATACTCTCCTCGAATCTGATTAACTACTAATTGAGAATCTCCAAAAGCTTCAAGGTCGTATTTGATTAACCACCAGTTGAGAATCTCCAAAAGCTTCAAGGTATTCGACCCCCAGCTCTTTGGCGAAATTAAGTCCGATTATTAATGCATTGTATTCAGCCACGTTATTAGAGCATGGTTCAGTCAGTGAATATGCTCTAGGCAAGACGTGTTTTTCCGGGGAAACTAAAACGACCCCCACTCCTGAGGAGATTTTAGAACATCCGGGTGCACTTGCCACGTTGGTTGATCGGGAAGCCCCATCGAAGTACAATTGCCACACTTGTTGATGTGAGGTGGTATTAACTTCGTGAGTTTCATCTGGCAGGTCGTCGTACAATTCGACTACATCCTTCGTAGGGTTTTCTGCCAGAAGGTCGCAAATAGCTCGTCCTTTAACAGATTTCTGCTGTTTGAAGTACAAGTCATATTGCGATAAGAGTAAAGCCCATCTGGCCAAACGCCAATTCATGGAAGCCGGTTGGGTCATGAACACTCGGACGGGATTTATGTTGGAAATGACATAAATCGTCTGTCCGACTAAATAATGTCGCATTTTCTGAATCGCGAATACCAAAGCGAGGCATTCCTTCTCAATCATTGGATAACGAGACTCAGCTCCTACCAATGTACAACTCAGATAATACACAGCTTGCTCGTGACCGTTATCGTCGTCTTGTACAAGTAATGCACTTAACGAATGGCTCGTCGCTTTGACATAAATCAAAAACGGTCTGCCCGATTTCGGTG